TTTTTTTTAAATTTAAATTCAAAAATTATTCGTTCGACAGAACAAAAAAAAATCGTTAATCGTAAATATATATAAGCGAAATAAAGAATCTGAAACGATTCGAGTAGTAGTCGAGTAATTAAAATCCCCCATAAGAATTTAAACCTTTTCATATTCGAAATAAAGAACCTGAAACGATTCGAGTAGTAGTCGAGTAACATCCCATATAAAAATTTAAACCTTTTCGTATGCGAAATAAAGAATCTGAAACGATTTGAGTAGTAGTCGAGTAATTAAAATCCCCCATAAGAATTTAAACCTTTTCGTATGCGAAACAAAGAATCTGAAATGATTCGAGTAGTAGTCGAGTATCATCCCATATAAAAATTTAAACCTCATTTGACTCGAGTAGTATTTATTTTTTTTAAAATTAATTTTTGCTTTTTAATCGTAACGGTTTTTTAAAAAAAGGAAAATATTTTCCGTTAAATGTTTAAAAAAAATTTTAAATATAATATACAGTTCGAGTGATAACATGCCTACGTCATCATCGGAAGTATGGAAATTATTAGAATCGATAAAAAAAGATCCGACATTGGCAAAATTAAGAGCTCAACATCGAAACATCGGAGAAGAAAATGAAAATGTCGATAATTTACCAGAACCGGATATGAAGTAATTAAATGATGATTATTTTCATTTAAAATTTTCCATAGATTATTTAACCTTTTAACCTTTCAACCTTTTTTTTCGTAACACACAGAGCAGGGAAAAAAAAAGAAGTGACGTTAAAACCGGAAGATACGATATCGGTAACAGCAGAAGATAATCTTTATTTGGATCCCTATCAAATGAAAATAAAAAAAAATTTTGCCACGTTAAAAGTCGATACGGAATCAAATAAAAATCGTAAAATGTCCGATGGTAAAATGTACGAATTAATTTTTTTTTTTTTTTTTTAATAGAATTTTCTAGAATTTTCCCTCGTTTAAGATTTTAATTAATTAATTAATTTAAACAGGAAAGTTTTCGATCCTACAATAACAACTGCAGGAGATGATCAATACGATGGCGATGATTTAAAAGAATCAACTTGGTACAGGTATTCGAAATTGGGAGTCATGATACTTATATGGCTTTTATGTACGGTAAATATTTAAATAAAAACAACAACGACTTCCTACCGCCATTTTGAAAATTTTAACGATTACGATTCGTTGAAAGAAAAAAAAAAAAAAAAATTTTTTTTTATAATTAATTACGGCGTCGGAATACATATATATATATAATCCTACTCTACCTATTTATGTATAAATTTTTAACGTGGTTTTAGAAAAGCAAAATATTATTATTATATACGATCCGATTAAAAATTTTTTTTTTTTTTTTTTTTTTACAACTCCCCGGTATTTATCCCGTTTTATTAATAATTTTATTTTAATCGTTAAAAATAATAATAATAATAATAACAACTCGAAGAAACGACGACGACGACCGTTTTTTTTTTTTTTTTTTGTAATTTATTTAACGAGTTTCGATTTCTGCCATTTTTTTTGTTATCCCTCTTTGTCTAACCTTCAATTATGTTCGTTATTAATTACCTCCCCGCTAACTCATATCATTTTTAATGATAATAATAATAATAATAATTTCTAGATAATTCTAATAACTAAAAAGGAAAAAGTATCAAACTTACATCAGATCTCGGTACCACCTGGTCACACAAAGAGTATCCTTTTATCATTCTATGACGTCACTTATTACTATCATTATTATTATTTGGCACGAGGAAATAGTACTTCGACCTGAAAGAAAACAGAGAGAGAGAGTGAGCGTATGAAAAGGAAGAGAGAAAGAGAGAGAGAGAGAGAGAGTGACATAGAGAAAGCTTTTGATATTAAATCCAATTATAATTGATTAAAACTTATGAAAAATAATAATAATGATAATAATAATAAGCTCTTTTAAGACGTAGGTATAATGTGGCGAAGGGGGTAGAATGCTGGAGGGTGTAAGGGGGGGGTAAGGGGGGGGGTTATTGTAGACGAGTTACTGTTTTTTTTTCCTTAACGAATAATGATAAGCTTATTTAATATTGGATCGTCCTATAAAACATCAAATAAGCGTCGTCATAGAGGGCGCTTTATTACCTAATTATTACGCTAATTTAAGTACGAGATGGATGACGGTTTGGGTGGAAATGTTCGAAGCAAGAGTTGCTCTAGAACTTTCGACGCCGTTAAAAGAAAATCACATAAAATATTCAATAGTGAGTAATGATGAATCATGATTTTCTTTTTCTTCTTACCCCCCCAATTAGGTTTATTACGGTGTTATAATGATGATAATAATTTTTTTTTGTTTCTTACCTTTAATAAGAACGTGAGCGAATTTTGGACCATACCATTAGTTTTGGAAGAACTTGTAGACATCGTACCAGAATTATCTGTTAAAAAAGTATTCAATTTGAAAAATTTCGATTCGGAGTAAGGAAAAAACAAATTTTTATTTTAAAAAATTTTTTCCAAAACTTTATACTTACAATAATCGTTTGTTTGTTTGTTTGTTTGTTGGGTGCGTTTGTATCACACAGAGTTCTATCAAAATGTTTTGTGAGGATACACTTTGAAACAAATTTAAACAACAGTTTTCCAGTTTCCGTCGGTTATGATTTATCACCGATCGATCTTGAAGATGGAGTCATATACGCAGCCATTGTTCTTTTAGGATTGTATATATTTATAATATTCGAGGTAAAAAATTTTTTTTTTAAGGCGAAAGAATTCCCGATGGAAAATTTTACGTTTTTCCGATTTTTTTTTCAGGTCGTTCATCGTACGTTGGCAGCAATGTTAGCGGCAACCATGTCCGTTGCGATATTAGCCGCTTTAGATGAAAGACCATCGATAACGGATATCGCATCTTGGATCGATTTCGAAACTCTCCTCCTGCTTTTTTCCATGATGGTAATGGTCGGAATTTTCGCGGAAACTGGAATATTCGATTATTTATCCGTGTACACGTATAAGATAACAAACGGAAGAATATGGCCGCTCATAAACACCCTTTGTTTTTTCACCGGATTTTTATCATCGTTTTTAGATAACGTCACGACGGCTTTACTCATGACACCCGTCACCATAAGGTACCGCCATTTTTTTTTTTTTTTTTACATGTTTTTCACTCCTTAAAAAAAAAGAAACGAAAAAAAAAAAAATTAATTGATTATAATCTTAAAGATTATGCGAAGTCATGGAACTTAATCCCGTACCAGTTTTAATGGCGATAATGATTTTTTCCAACATCGGTGGAGCCATAACTCCAGTTGGGGATCCACCCAATGTTATCGTCGCTTCTCATCCTGACGTCATAAGTTCTGTACGTAGTGGTAACAGATTTTAAGAAGTTAAAAACGGGATTAAAAACAGGAGATTCATTATTTCGTCTTCTTCTTTTTTTTGTTTAGGGTGTGGATTTCGGTGTGTTTTTCTTACACATGTTTTTGGGTGTTTCCTTGGTATCCGCCGTCGTTTACGTTCAACTTAGATTTATGTTTAGAAACAATAAAGTTTTTAGATTTGCCGAACCACAAGACGTGCAAGGTAATCCTTTTTCTTAAAAATTTTCCGATGAATTTTCCATTTTGAAAACACAACAAATTTTCTCGTTTAAAGAACTAAGACACGAAATTGTTATATGGCAAAGAGCGGCAGCATCATTGACGTCATATTCGAAAGATGAAGATGTCGTACGTGAAACTTTATTGAAAAAAGTTAGAAGATTGCTGTCGGAATTGAAATTGAAATTGGTACAAGAGAGAACTCCCTGCGAAAATTACAAAGCAAACCTGGAAGAATTAACGGAAAAAGTTAGTTTAACCGTCGTTTTTCCATTTCTTTTGGAGGGGGGGGGGGTACTACGTACCTGAAAATCATAAGTTTTCTGTTTTTTTTTAGTATCCCATAAGGAACTGGCCACTTCTTTACAAATCCGGTTTCGCATTGCTTTTTGTCATATGCGTTTTCTTTTTACATTCTATACCGGAATTGAATTTGTCACTTGGTTGCACAGCATTTTTAGGAGCCACACTATTATTAATATTAGCCGACAGAGAAAACATGGAAGGAGTTTTGGCAAGAGTCGAATGGAGCACTCTACTTTTTTTCGCATCGTTATTCATACTCATGGAGGTGAATTGTTATTGTTTTTTAAATCACCCCCGACTCCAAAAATAATAATGATAATATTTTGTTTTTAGGCATTATCGAGGCTTAGATTGATCGAATGGATCGGTAGAAGAACAGAACATTTGATTCTCGGGGTGGATACCCAATATCAACTTTCCGTTGCTATTGTAATGATACTTTGGGTGTCAGCGTGCGCAAGTGCTTTTGTTGATAACATACCACTGACGACGATGATGATAAGAATAGTAACATCCCTCGCACAAAATCCACAATTGGATCTTCCACTCATGCCTTTGGTTTGGTCTTTGTGTTTTGGCGCATGTCTCGGCGGTAATTTTTTTTTTTTTTTCAAACACAATGCGAGAGATTACACAATCACGATGATGATGATGATAAAAAAATTAATTTTTTTTTTTTTTTTTTTTTCATATCAGGCGTTGCAACCCTAATAGGATCATCTTCGAATGTCGTTTGTGCCGGAGTAGCAGAACAACACGGTTACAGATTTACATTCGTAGAATATTTCAAGTTCGTATGACATACATATAATAATTCATTTTATTTTTCAAGAGAGTATATAAACGCGAGATCCGATATCCGTTGTAAAAAAAATTTTTTTTTTTTCATCTTCGTTTCGTTTGATGACGTCAAACGTCACACGTTTAACATTTTTATTTTTATAATCACAATAAAAATCTATTAGAGTTAAACGACGATTTCCGTTTTGAATAAAATGTTTGTTTTTTTTTTTTTTGTCTTTTTTTTTTACGATCTTAATGACACATTTATTTTTTAAATATTTAAAATAAAATAAAATCCATACCGTATTCACATCCATCCATTTTAAAGAAAAACATGGCGGTTAAAAATATATGATGATATTTTTTTTTTGTTTTCCAGAATCGGATTTCCGGTCATGATAGTAAGCGTTTCCGTTTGTACCGTATATCTACTCATAGCACACGTCGCATTGGAATGGAACACGTAAATAAAACTCCTTATCCTGGAAAATAACAATAATAATAATAATTTTTATAATATTTATTAAATAAAATGGTTAGGGCGCGTGTACAAACGAGGACAATGGCGATTCATTATCGACTTTTTAAAAAAAATTTTTTTTTTTTAATTTTGTTTTTTGTTGTTGTTGTTGTCGCAAAATATCCGGTAAAAATTATTTTCTTAGAAGGTGGTATAAGACGTCACGCTGTCAAATATTCATTGTTACCTTTTTTTTTTTTTTTATTATTATTATCGAGTGCCTGTCTCGTTGTTGTTATTATTATTGGTGGTAGTGTTGAAGAAGAAGAAGAAGAAGAAGGAATCGATCAAGGTACGAATAATGCTTTTCTCTCAGTTTAAAAAAAAAAGAAAGAAAGAAAAAAACCAATACCTTAATTAAAAATTATATATATATATAAATAACAATGATTTTTTTTTTTTCTTTTTCCTTTTCCATTTCCATTTCCATTTCTTTCTTTCTTTTTTTCTTTCAGTACCTTAAGTCGTCGATATTCTATTTATTTATTTACTTATTGTTTGTGCTCGTGTGTGGTAAAAACCAATTTTTTTTTAATTCTTCTTCTTCTTCTTCTTGTTGTTGTTGTTGTGTTTATCAATAACCATTTTGTAAAACCACTTTTGAAAAAAACCATCAAAGTTGTTATTATTATTATTATTTTAACGTTTCGTCATTTGTTCGTTTGCACGTTTTCCCTTTTTTTTTTCAAAAAAAAATTACAATAATAATAATAATAATTTTTTGTATTAATTTCGTTTGTAAAAATTTTGACGTCATCGTCATCATTATTTATATATATGTGCGTATATATAATTTTTTTTTTTTTTTAACCTGTCAAAGACATTCAATCGTTATCGCTTATCTATTTATTTATTATTATTATTAGTATTATTAATAATAATAAGAGAGAAATTTTATCGTTGTTAATAATTGTGAAATTTTAAATAAAATAAAAATTTATATATAAATATTTTTTTTTTTTTAATAGAGTGTCTTAACGAATGTAACACGTTAACGTTTTTTTTTTTTTTCCATTTTCCCATTTCCTCCGATTGTGAATTTATTTTTTTTTCTAATTCCACGTCGAGATAATTTGATATTTATTTTAACGCATCGATTATTACGTATATTAATAATAATAATAATATTAATATGATGATGAGTTTTGATAACTCGAACGCGTTGTAATCATTTGGACGATTGAATTTAAAAAAAAAAAAAACGTTTTTTTATGCTTTTGCGTTTTCTATGTATTTATTATTATTATTATTATTATTAGTATTATTATTATTATTATTACATCCGGGAAAAAAACGAACGGATTTTATCGTTTGACAGTAAAATATTAAAATATTAAAAATGTTTGCGGTTATTTTATCAGTCAAAAACGATTTCATTCACGAAACGATCGATCGATCGATCGATCGATTGTTAATAACCAAAAATAAAAATATCGTAAAACGAGGATTTCCGAACCGAAAAAAAAAAATTATCATCATCATCATCATTATTATTATTATTAATTGTGGCTTGTGCGCGTGCGTTTTTTTTTTTTTTTTGCAAATGGCGGGAAATTGCCAAAGTACCAAAAAAAGAGGTAAAGTGGTCAATTTATTTATGACGACCAGGTGTCGCGTTTTAAAAGATACCTGCTATTTTAATTATTATTATTATTATCGTTTTAAATTTTATTAAACAAACAAACGGTTTGTATGTTGTTTGAACAAACGCAAAAAACAAAACGGAAACGTTTTAAAATCAATAATAATAATAATAACAACGTCATAAATTTTTTTTTTTTTTTTTTTTTTGATTCTTTCGTTTCGTTCTTTTTCCGATTTTCATTCGTCATTATTAAGTACCGCTTATTATCATCATCATCATCATCATCATCATTATTATTATTTTAACGCGCGAAAAAATTCAAACGATTTTTTTTTTTTTAGGGGGGGGGGGTAAATGGGAGAAGTGAGAGAAAGAAGTAATCGAAGTCATCTCGTGTTTTCCCCTCATTCATCCTTCGAATCATCATCTTTACCATCGTTTTTCTTTATCAATCAATCAATCAATCAATCAATCATTATCACTAAAATTAGAAATCGTTATAAAATAATAATAATAATAATAATACTAATAATAGTAATAATAAATTGGCAACACTTTAAAAAAAAAATGAAAGGGATTAAAAAAAAAAAAATCAAAAGTCGGTTTTCATCACAAAAGGGTAGATAGAAGAAAAAAAAACGTAGAAGAAAAGAGAGAGAGAGAGAGAGGGGGGTATATATAAAAAAAAAAGGTGCAATAATATATATATATATATATATATATATATATATATATATAAACGAACGTGGCATTAGAAAAAAAAAAATATACAGGTGTTGTTAAAAATAAAAAATAATCCAATAGATTCCTAATGAACTTAACAATGGCGTTTATATTATGTGTTAAATAAAAGATTCGTTAAATCAACGATCATTCAATTTTTTTTTTTTTTTTTTCTCTATTTTCTTCCTCTTTTTGTTTCTCATTTATCGGAATGAATCGATTATCATCATCATCATCATCATCATCATCATCATCATCATCATTATTATCGATAACAATTACAAAACATTTAACGGCAAAAAAAAAAAAAAAAACAAAACGAAAGAGAGAGAAAAAAAAAAATTTTCCCCAACTTTTCTCAATACAGACACCAAAATTTTACCACCTTAACTTTTTATTATCATTATTATTATCATTATTAGCAGACGACGATCGAAAGAAGAATTTTTTCGGTTCGAATGAATCCACAGAAAAAAAATTTTACGTAAATCTTTTTTACGTGACAGTAAAAAAGAAAAAAAAATTTATTGCCGTCACTCATTATATTAAACCGAATAACCTTTCAACCTTTCAACCTATTGACCGACCCATCCACCAACCCTTTGCAAAGTTTTCGATTCGGTTTCGTGAACATAACAGAAAAAAAGAAAACCGTAGAAAATTTTTACGAGGGGAGGTGCGGGGAGGCGGGGAAGCGGGGGAGAGGGAAAAGAGATCATTAAAAAGAAAAAAAAATTCTTTTCTTGAATGAATTCTTTATCCACGATCACTCAACACTTTGTTCTCCATTTTTTTTTTTTTTTATTCAATTCAAAAAAAGAAGAAGAAAAACTGCGAATGAACTATTATTATTATTATTATTATTATTATTATTATTATTATTATTAAGTTCCATGAATAATGTCTCTTAAAAGTCATTCAGGTATGTATGTATGTATACTTCAAGCATTGTGTGAACCACCACCACCACTCGTCGAGGGTGTAGAAAAACATTTATTTTGATAGGTTCGGTCCGATATATCGTAAATTAACTTATCAGACGTGTACGAGTATTCGTGCGTGTGTGTGTGTGCGAGTGCGTGTGCGTGTGTGTGCGTTCGTTCAATGATTTATTACGTGGGAAAAATTCACTTTTCTCATTTTATTTTTTTTCTATGAAATTCATTCGCAGCATCACCTGTGCTGTGATAATTTTAACGTCATTTCCCTATATATATTAACGCAATAAGAACCAAAAAAAAAAAACTTTTTATGTATGTTTGTCGGGTTGTTGTTGTTGTTGTTGTTGGCTCGTCGAAATGATTTAGTTACGACTTTCCTTAACTCGGATTAACAACTTTGTTAATTAACTTAGACAGGGCATAAAACATAAAAAACTTATTTGTACAGTTAATTAATTCACTCCTAGTGTTTAATTGCACTCCGGTTAAAAAAACATCCTCATTTATTTATTTATTTATTTTTTCTTAAACAGAAAACGACGACGGCGGCGGCAAACGAGAAAAAAAAACGCGGCAAATCGAAACGTTTGTTTGCCGTCGATAAAAAAAAAAACGTTTTTTTTTTTTTTTTTATTTCAACATCAAATCAAATCAATTACGACGCGTTACACATTAATTCCTTTTTTATCGTAAAGTCGTTTTAAAAAAAAATAACAAAATGGCGTACGAAAATCACATTTTCCCCCTCCCCCCTCTCTCTCTCTCTCTCTAAACTTTTTAATAAATAAAATAAATCGAACGAAAATTAATTATCCATTAAAAAAAAAAAAAATGATGATGATGATGATGATGAGTGTTAACCTATTGAAAATGGTCGATGAAACGACAGGATTCGTTATTACTAATAGAGGGCAAAAAATAATACGACTATGATTCTCTTTCTGAAGAAATCAAAAAAAAAAAAAAAAAAACAACAACAAAAGAATCACCATGATGATGATGATGATAATGATGATGATAATGATAATAAAACACACACACACGGAAAAAAAAAAAAAGAGCGAGTGAGAATAAGAGAGAGAGAGAGAGAGAGAGAGAGAGAACACATTAGAATTGTCGTATTAAAAATTGATTAATCATACTATTATGGCGTCACGGTATGTGCGCATGAGTGAATGGAATCTTTCGACTGGAACTATTATATTGCCGTTTACTTATTGTTAATTTTCTTTTTTTCTTTTTTTTTTTTTTTTCCATGCAAAAAAAAAAAAAAAAAGAAAATCATTTTTAACATAACGACAAGTTTTTATACGATATGTTTTAACTTAAAAACGGATTAAATTTCAATGCGACCATTATAAAATATCCGACTATTAATAAACCGAAAAAGGTATTTTCCGAAGAAAAAAAATTTATTATTTATTATTTATTATTAAACGTCGTCGTGTAAAGAAAATTTATTATTATTATTATTATGGGTGTCGTGGTAGCAGTCGTGGTAGTAGTAGTAGTAGTAGTAGTGGTCGTCTCCGCCTACAACTTCTTCACTAAATCTTAACCGCCGTATTAATTTTTTACAAAAAAAAAAAAAAAAAAAAAAAGTAAGAAAATTTTAATTTATGTCTTCTTTCGTTTGTCTGTTTGTTTGTTTGTACGTTCGGTTGGTTGTTGTCATTATTTATAACATTATCGGTTGTG